GCGTTACCAGAGTTTGTATTCATCATAGACCGCGCCATCGCTTGATTCCCTAGTCTACAGTCTTTACAAACCACCCAACGGTTGCGTTCACATCATGCGCTCGATCACGCGCGCTCGCTTGCTTACAACTAAGACAAATAAGAAGACGATTGTAGACCGGCTATTTATTCTCTTGAATGGTTCCTTCCGCCCGGCTTTACTTGTGGGCCTCTTGTTAACTGACTAGTAACGCCTGATGAATATATGAAAACAAACTCTTAAAAACAATCATACGTTCTGCGTAAAGTTAACAAAGCGTGCCTATATAAACATACAATATATATATTTCTTGGCTTTACTCTCTTCATCATTACTGGAATGAATTCACCTACGTGACCGCGTAACTTTTGAAGACGTTGGATCATAGCACAACATAAAAAAACACAAATATAAGTCATTTACTGACGGAATTCTCGTGCTGTGCAATGATACAGCTAATCAGATTGACAACTAATTTTCCAGGTCATAAATTTCCCTCAGTGGGGTGATTTCGTGCAGAAGTTTAAATCCTAACATAGGCAAACATGAAGCCCTACCTGGTGACACGGGTCGTCCACCCGTAAAGCTAAACAACATGGAAATCAATACCAGCAAGTTGTAGATCCCTTTCATTCTAACACAGGCTAACCACACAGGCGTTTCAAGTCTTTCCAGACGTGGGAAACAAGCGTAAATAAAATGGAGGGTGAACAATTCATATATTTTACAGAGCCACACCTTAGTTGTGTCATCGTTTGAGTTACTCTGTTCTCTTGATGATATGTTTTCATGACATTTTTCACTTGCAATTATTGGTCACTTTAAGACAGTTACGGACTGATGCAGAAAAAAAGTGTTGCTCAAGAACTGTCATTGTTTTAGAGACCATATCGCTGTAATTTCTTGCACTATTTGTCCTCAGTAAATTAAATTTGTTTCAGTGGTAATCGGACAAAATTCCATCCCGCCCTCTGGTGATATATTGAAACATATGAAAGATCACTGTACGGCCTTGCAAGAAACCAATTAACCAGTACAAAAGACAAAAACTGCACCAAAAAATTACAGCTTCTTGATGTTTTACGAAATCTCTATTGCCTTGGAGAAGGAACGATGCAATCCGTTCGCCGTATTTAACAACAATTCTGACAAAAACGTCCTCCGGCAGCAGCGAATTATCCGCTGCACATGTAAGCAGACAACCCACCCGATGGTATTCTTGCCAAAACAGTTCCCGCCATAGTTTCATACCAATCTACGTTCTGTAAAACGGCCGTGTTTTTACCCTTTTACGCCTGTCTTTCAAAAAACTGTTTTCTTGTAAATCTCGCTTTTGTTGTACAAACAACCATTGTCAAGTTATTGATGTATACATGTACCCAGTCTGGTTATTTGGGACACGTTTCGTTAAAAATTCATTATCCACCGAAACACGCATGCCTGTTCACAAGTTGAATCGAGTTAGGGAAGCGTAAAACGTCAATATCTTCATTTTTCTTGTCGAAAATCCCCTTAAACAAGGACACTAAGGCAGCCTTGCCTCCATTCCTGCCTTTGAATCATCTGTGTCACAAATGAGTTGAGATATGAGGGATTCACGGCGTTTCGTGTTTGTTGTGACCATTTTATTTGTCATAGTGCAGTCGACATGGGGAATTCGACACGACACTTTCTGGGGAGAGAAAGGTAAAGTATTTCTTGATTCTTTCATTTGTCCGAGCCACAACCTTGTCCTGAGAAAAGCGCAGATTATGATGAGGATATAAGTCGGAATGACATCAGTGAGATTTCGTGTCTGGTGACTACGTCGTCTTACCGTGTTTCACAATGGGGTACATGTCAATAGTAGCTGAAACCGGTCGCATTTTGGAATTAACATAATTTCCAGTTATTTCAGTTCAGTCTCTCTTAGACTGCAATTTCAACTGATAATTAACCAATCAGTTAACCTGGAATCTTAAAAAAACAGCTGCTGTTTAGAAAGTTTTATAAATTAGCCATTTTATTCTCAGTTTTATTCCTAATTATGGTCGCTCACCACATGTTGTCGATAGTTTTTCAAAAGCTATAGCTGTGATTTCTATTAATTTATTGTCTTGATGCGTTGGGGGTAACATGAATGTGTCACAAAAACAATTCGATTAAGACATTTTCTTATATGATCACGGAACCTTCATCTTCCCAGTTTCTAGCGGGCTTGACTTTCGTGTTCGAATTCAATCCCAGAAGACCGCAGGAGCTGACATTCTTCGTTTTCATTCCGTCAAGTCCCTAACCGGAGAACCTGGGTCGGGTTATTTAAAGTCCGATTAAACTAACCCAGGATTAGCGAGAATTTTGATTTCAGTTTTGTAACTATTCGGAGAGGTTTTCTGTTTATATCGTTTGCACTTCACTTTTGACTGAATTTGAATAGTGTCAAACTAAACAAAAAATAAGAAGCAAAAAACATTTATATACAAGAAATATTAATACTTCGGTTAACTTTTAATCCTGGGTTAGCGTTATCAGTCCAGCTTTCGAAAAACCCAGCCCAGCTGATTAATAAGAGACTTATTATACCATGCACTACTGGTTGAAAAATATCAGAGGAAAATGAACTGAAAGGTAAAAAAAAAAACAAGGCTGCGTCGGGCCAGTGGCCCACAAAACCGAAAGTTTTCCCGGTTTCACTTTTTCACCCTGGGAACGAGGTTGGTTTTCTGTAGCACTAAGCGACTAGAAGTATTTCTACTCCCCCTGGATGGGGTGCTAAAGTCCATCGCGGGGTTACCCCCAGCAATAAATTTACCAGTATACATTTATACACCTGTGTGGAGAGAGGCACTGAGAGTAAAGTGTCTTGCGCAAGAACACAACACAATATCCCCTGCTAGGACTCGAACACAGGATTCCACCGCTCCTCCAAACAAGAATTATAAGTGTCTGTAATTTATTCTAACGAAATTATCTTCCGTACAGAAACGTGTTCTGAAATAATAACGAACACTATTGCCATACATGCGTGCCACACATGCGGATGGTTGATTTCTTTGTTGTGTGATAAGAGATTACACGGACCTCTGACAAAATTAACCAACTAATCGAAACTAAAGAAGGAGTTTAAGTTAAATTAAATGTGCAACGTTCACGGTAAGAAAGAAAATAAAAGATCTTCAGTGACAAACCAATATTAAACAGATTACAAGCTTTCAAGCTGCAGAACTGGTTGATAGTAAATAAATGATAAATATTAAATAACCCGCCACCATCTGTAATGGTTTTAACATTTGTTACTGTTCATGATTATTGCTGTTTCAGCACCTCCTGGTTGTGAGCCCTGTCCCAAGAACAATGAGGGTCTTTTTGACACTCCAATATGCGGCATGAATGGTATCGCTTACAAGAACTTCTGCTATCTCACACTAAGGAACTGCATCGCCAAGATTTTGAAGAAGAAACCAGTCTTTCCCTCAAAGGACCCTAAAACTTGCGGGTAAGATTTACAGTAGAGCAATTCTGCGATCTGTGGAAGAACATGGATGGTCTGGAACTTTTTCTTGCTTTCCTCCACCCTTTCTTTGTTATTTTCCTATTAAAAACTCTCACTAATCTCTCACTTGAATGTGAGTTTGTCCCTATCGTAATCAATTTTTTCCCTCGCAATCCGTTTAAGTGTGCACCTTCCTCACTTTCTAATGTATTTTCTTAGCAACTGTTTACCAAATAAACCAGGTTTCGAATCGCGTCGGTATGTTTGTAAGCTCATTGAACTCGTGCTAACAGCTATTTTGGATCTTTCATACAGGTTGCAAATGAAGATGTACAACACATTCTCCGACAAACCATTCAAAAGAAGAAGGAGAGCAATAAAACTGTTAGAAAAGACTGTAACAGAAAACGGAGGTTACTAAGATGAGCAACGAACTACAGTACTTGTACATGATTTTATAGCTGGAATGAAAGTCAAGAAGACACAGGGGGAGGGGGCAGCCACAAGGGGGGTCTGGGACCGAGAAATAATAATTTTACAACTTACAAAGCAGTCAGTTTAGGAGTCAGCTTATGTTATAGTCTAACATATATGTATTAGGGGAATCGGCCATCCCTCCTAAAGGCACGTTGTTTAATTTAAAGGAGCTCAGTTACGGTATTTTGAGTGATTTTGGCCACGTCCAAAACTACAGTTAAATTGAAAGAACATGAAAATAATAGTTTACTAATATAGAAAAGCACCAAAGAGATAATAATAAAACATAAAGGAACAAGGATGATTAAGAATGGATAAGATTAATATGGATTACAAACGACGAACTTAACAAATTTAGGTTAAACTTTTCAAGATGATGCACTGAACTGTGACGTAGCTTTTTTAACGGGTCTGTTGGGTCAATCTGCATGCATCTGACTCTTTAACCAATCAAAGAATGTGTTGTATTTTCCGCCAATCAGGTGCTGCAGAAGTGAAGCCAATCAACTAAATTTTCCCATGCTTGCCAATAGGAACATGTTGATCAGTTGTTCGCGTTCTGATTGGTTAATCAGCATATTTTCTGACGGTGCGTCACATGACTAATTTACTCAATCCAGATGGCAGAAAATTATTTCTTGACTACTTTGGTTTTATGGCTTGCATTAGATAACTGCTCCATACAACTTAAAAAAAATTGATTCGAGCCTAACTTATGATTAATTAGTGTAAATGAGAAAGTGAGAAATCTCTTAGACTTTGTAATGGCCAAGGTATATGACTATTTTTCCAGTTGAAAACTGTACATAGCTTCATATAGATTATGTTGGGAAAGGCGAAGAAAATAGATAAAAAGAGGCAATGGATTTTTTATTCTTAATTTTATTTTCGAGCGGCTTAGAGCGAAGTATTATAGAAAACTATGTTAGGCTAAAGTAGAAATTGAGGCAAATTAAGACTCCAATAATCAGGATATTTCACCAACAGGAGGCGATAACTGTTTTATTGCCTGTTTTCATCATATTAAATGGCGGGAAACGTCGATGCAAGTAGCCCGTGATAAATCACTGAATGCATGGACATGGATTTCCTTCACGGTATGGCATCATCTGTCAAGGTCACTCTGATTGCCGTGTCGCTCTTGTTGATAGATACTTTTTTCATGTCAACTGATCTATATTTTTAGTAGGGGAAAAAAAATTCCCAGCTACCATAACCCTGATAACTAAAGTAAATAGATAAGCAATCTGCGAATAACTTGGCAGAGTTGAATTAATACTACTGTAACTCTGTATCTAATAAGCTAATAAACAGTGAATTAGTAAATAAATGTAGGGTTCAGACTGGTCATAGTACGGGGGGGGGGGTACCCCCAGAAAAATTGAGCAGGAGTGTGCGGCCCGCTTCCCGAAACCCTTACCCTATTTATGACCAAAATCTGTGATGTTCCCTACCCTATTTATGACCTGACCAAAGATTTGATACCCTATTTATGACCATTGCGGCTGGCACAGTTGCTCTAAACATAATTTACGAAGGGCTTTTGTCGATGGTCTTATCGATAATTATGAAAAAGTAGCTTCTTCTAAAAAACATACCCAGTTCAAAGACAAGAGTGCAAAAACCATACCCTATTGATGACCAAAATGGCCAAAATCGAAACCCTATTTATGACCAAAACGGCCGAGAAATGATGCCCTTTAGGGCGGCACATACCTGTATACCTATCATATTCATCCTTCAAGTGGACAAGTTCCTTTCCCTGAAAGAAGCTCGGTGGGTGATATTTATACTTAATCGTATCTTTTTGGTACGCTTCGGTGGCATATCAAGCGAGTTTGGTGGAGCCATGGCTGGTATTTTGACTATTTTGTCGAGACGTACGTACCCAAATTCGCCTAGTGATCGAACCTGGTGTCATAGGGCCAATTTCCGCCGCTCACTTGAGTTTGGGGAAGGAGCGAGGAACACCGGCTGGTAATCGAGCCTAATGATATCGCAGTCGTATCAGGTCAGTGACTTGATACCGCGGGATATCGGAACAGAAGATAAGGCTTCTGATTGGCTAGTTGCGAATTGAAATGAACGGAATCCTAATGTGTTGGATA